CGCGGCGGGCCGGGAGCCGCACGGGGCCGGGCTTCAGAGCCGGAGCTCCGGAGGCCGCGGGAGGAGCCGTCACTGGCACGGGGCACCGTCAGGCGGGCGCCGGCATCATCAGGTGGGCACCGGGCACCAGTCGGGTGGGCGCCGGGCATCAGGTGGGCATCGGGCATCATCAGATGTGCATGGGGCATCAGTTGGGCACCAGCATCATGAGGTAGGCATGGGGCATCGGTGGGCATCGGGTATCAGGTGGGCATCGGGCATCCTCATGTGGGCACGAGGCAGCCCTCTGTGGACTCCTAGCTCGCCGTTTGTCAGCCGCGGGAGCTCCAGCGAGCTCGCGCGTTCTCTGTCCTCCGACAAGCCTCAGGCAGCCGTCAGCAGCACGGTGCACGTGGACTGTGGCGATGCCCCTGGGTTGACGTCCGTGCGCCCTGCCTGAGTTCCCACTCCAGACCCTCCGCCCTGCGTGAGCGGGTGAGCAGGGAGGTCGCGGCCGCGAGGCCGGCCCGCGTTGGACCCCTGACCCGGACCCTGACTCCAGCCAGGGAGAAGTACGTTTCGGTGGTTTGTGAGCCCCCGGCGCGCAGTGTTTTGTGACCGCGGCCCAAGTGAACTAAGGCGGAATCGACCAAGGCGGCCAGCAGATCGCTAGGAGTCAGCCTCAGGGCGTGCGAGCCTGTATTTTGTTACTAGGCTCATCACCATTATTAACAGCCTAACATCAGCTACTTTGGTTTTGGAACAGAAAAGTCAACACTACAGAAGTCAAATGCCAAAGACAAGATTTGCAGTCTGTCCCGCACCAAGTTCCTGTGCAGAAACATCGACCCCAGGGTGATGGCTTCAGGGGGTGTGGGCTTTGGGAGTGCTAGGTCCTGAGGGTGGGGCCTCCTCAGTGGGGTCAGTGGCTTTATAAAAAGGTGTCCCTTAAGATCCCCCATCTCTTCCACCGTGTGAATTTAGAGCAGAAAGACGTTACCTACCCCTAAGTACAGGAGCCTTCACCGAATCTCCCGGTGCCTTCCCCTAGCTTGACCTGTCTTGGTTACTTTTCTGTCCTTGCTGAGACAAAATACCCGACACCCAAAGTTAAGGAAGGAAAGGTTTATTTAGCTCACAGTTTGTGGAGATTTCAGTCCATAATCAGCTGGCTCCAAGGCAGGGTGGCACATGGCACAGGGGCGGCAGTCCACCTTGGACTTGGCAAAAGACAGCAAAAGCAGCAAGAGCAAAAGGGTGGGGGAAGCAGGCCTCTTTTCCTCCCTCTTATTGTAAGCAGGCTTCCTCCCAGGGCAGGTGTGGCGCTCACACCATCTCCAGGCCCTTCTCTTGCACAGGATGAGGAGGTTTCCAAAGTGAGGACCTGACCCCTGCTGAGTCCCTTAGTTAAACTTCTAAACTTCTCCGGCTGACACAATGAATCAACCATTATACCACGCTATAGCATTTGTTTCTCTACATTTTGTTTATTGAGACAAACTTATTAAAAGGCTCAAACACAGGGCGTGTTTACATGGACCCTATAGCAAATACATACATTACAAATGTAGGGATGTGTTGCCTTCCTGCTGAACAAAAGGTTCCTAAGCTTTTATATACACAAAAGTTGTACGGTTTAATGTCCTAAAGTACAACAGAGCATTTACAAAGTTATTTTACACTAGGTACTGTTTGCTAACTATGTAGTTCAACGCCCTAGAACTGTCTTGTGTAATGACACAGCTGCCCGGCCTGTTCTCACCTCCTCTGGCTGAGGATGCTGGGTGGGGGAGGGGTTGCAGTCACAGCGGCCAGCTGGACCGTGGGACTGCTCCTGGCCCATGAATCCTCCCATCACCAACAGAAGGCCGCCCAGAACAGCTTGCTGCCCCTCCTGAGCTCTGCTGTGGAGCCTCCTGATCAGAAACCATGGCTTCCAATACCAGTAACTCAGAAACCTCAGGCTGCCCCTGAAACATTTAAGATGCCATTGGGATTAAAAAAGAAAAACCCAAAGCTTCGTTTGTGCACACTTACTGCAGTAAGGCTTTCAGGGACAGCTGTCACCGGAGGCTCCATGAATCCTGCCACACAAGGATCAAGTTGGTGTCCTGGTCAAAGAAAACCCCACCATGGTGGTTCCCCTTATCTCAACCATTGCAGGGGACAGCAGCTGAATTTCATTCGTCTCAGCCACTGCAGACGTCTTGTCAGAGTCACTACATCCTCCTCAGGCACCAGCCCCAGCAGCAGTGCCAGCTCCACAGCTATGCCTGTAACCCAGTCTGCCAAGAAACCCTGTCAAGAATAACTATGCTTGTGAGATGTGTGGGAAAGCCTTCCGAGACGTGTACCCCGTCACTCAGCACAAGCTGTCCCATTCAGATGAAAAGCCTTCTAGTGTTCTATTTGTAAGCAGCACTTCAAGAGGGAGGACCAGATGACTTATCACGTGAAGTCTCATGAAGCAGGCATCACCAAACCCTATACTTGCCATGTTTGTGGGAAAGGCTTCTCGAGGCCTGACCACTTAAGCTGTCACGTAAAACCTGTCCATTCAACAGAAGGACCTTTCAAAGGGCAAACGTGCACTGATGCCTTTGCCATCAAAGACAAACTACAGACACACAAGCTGTTAAAGCATTTTTAACACCAATGGACTAATATATAAAATACTTCTTTGGTAATCTGAACAACTACCTTGAAGATAACAATATGCAATATAACAACCATTGCTGATTTCCATCACCTTGTTTTGAAATTGTGTATTGTTTGTAATGTTTTTTTAAAACTTTTATTCTCTTTAAAATAAAACATATAAAAATAGTTTCTTTTTCTAATTATCTTACTTGTACTCAGGTTTTGGCTAATGGCAAAGCTTAATAAACAAAACACCTCTATATATTATGTTTATCCAAATTTTAGAGGTATGTATTTTTCTAAGGAAATCAATGATTTCCCATAAAGATAATTTGGAATGCAAACCTCAGGAAAAAATGCAAACCTATGAAATTTATGCCAAGAATAATCTACACCTTGTTTTATCTTATTTCAAAACTGAAAAAAGTTTTAAAAATACATCAATATATTAGAAATCAAAAAAGATTAAAGCATCTAAACCTCTTTATTATAAATGATTAAGAATATACAGCTTTCTAAAATATGAGCAACTCTCCCCTTCCAAATCCCGGATTTGACTGTTCTGTAATGACACAGGGAGGAGTAGAAGCTGCTGATGTTTAATTGTAACTTTTAGCATGGGATTATAAATCACAAATCTGAGCCAGTGATATACCTTTAATTGCCTAAGAAGTTAATTAATTTAGACTAAGCTATTAAAGATTTCTGTTCATTTGACTTAGGACAGAGTTCTAGCGAAGGAAACATAGAATTATAGAGTGCTTTAAGTATTCAAATAATTTCAAATATGCTAAATGTTTTAAAAGAAAGGAAAGCCAACAAAAATACCCAAGAAAATGATGATTAAAGTCTTATTTTTGCTATAGAATTTCAAAGACTCACAATGGAGCCCATAGACCAGGCTACATTTGTCTAAAAGAGGTTCATTTAAGTCCCTGTGAACTGGGAGAAAATTCTGGAAGGGGCTTAGAGTAGGAATGAAGATGCAGCTGTGGGTCACACCTGTTTGCTCTCTTTTCTTAAAATATAAGAAAGTTCCCAAGGGCTTGGGTTTTAACTAAGCCACTGGACATTTGAGCTTAGTTGGAATCCTCCAAAGAATAGAGCCGGCTCTTCATTTCGTCACTACTGAGTATTCAAACACTGGGAATTGCACGTAAAACAAGAAAATGGTTGCTTGATTTACAAAATCAAAAAATCTACACTGGATCTTGGCCCTATTAGATTCAGATACACAGTCCTGTTTATCTTAGTCTTCAGCTTCTGCTTTCATCCACCTTGTATTTATTCTAAGGCACAATCTCCTTTAGCAGTGTCAACATCGGCCAACAGGAGGACAAGTCTTGAGCGTGTAAACTTAGCAACTCCTTGAAAAAGCAGCATCTCTCTTGCTCTAGTTTCAGCAGGGCTAACTTTTTTTGACCTTTATTGGCCTGGCTGTTCATTTATCCACTCTGAAAATATTCACTAAGGCTAGGGGGTGCTGCGCACTCAAAGGCCTTAGTGGTATGCCCACACGTAGAACCTTGAACTGAGGTCCACCCTATCAGAACCGCATGGGCTGTGAAGGGAACTTCTCAGTATTGCAGTGTTAATACTGGGGGGAACTGCTACTGGGCATGTTGAACACCATTAAACATTAACTGATGTGGAACAAACAAAAACTACCAAAAACCCAAAGAAGATTCCAGAATTTTCCAAGGGGCCCACATGCACTTCATAATACGAACAAGATACATGAGTCAAACATGGCAGTGCTTTATATTTTATTTACTCACCTAAGACCTGATAGAATTAAAAAAATATAGATTTTCTGGGGACTAATTTAGAATAGAAGTTAATGAGGTTACTATTTTGGTTAAGATTCTCCAGAGAAACATCCACTATTGTGTATGTGTGTGTGTGCGATCTGCTTCCTCAAAGTCTGATGAAATAAATACTGATATCATCTTAAAAAATACTTTCACAGCAACATCTGATGGGAGAACTTGCCTCAAACTAAAAAAAAAATTAAAAAGGGGCTAGGAATGAAGCCCTGGCTTCAGTCTCCAGTACCACACACACATCTTCTAAAAGCCCCATCTACGAGTGCGTGAAGCTTTGGGGGGACTTTCTTGATAAACCATAACATCGTGTCTATAGTTACCGTTATCCCGTCTCTCTGGAGCACTTTGATGAATACATTGGTCCTAAGGATGATCTCCCCAGGAAGACTGTGTTTGACCCGGGACCTGGGGGAAGGATGATCTCAGCAGAAGCAACAGGAAGCAGCTTGGTTTCACCATCACCTTGACTTTGCTGTTGTGGAGAGAAAAGCAGAGGGCACAGAGTCTGGTTCTCAATATTAGAATGCTAGTAAGTGCTGCGACCTTCTGTATTGCTAGGGTTCAGAACAGACTCAATATAAAATACACATATGATTGTACAAAGATTCATGAGGTAGACTTACAGCACCCAAATTGGAAGAGTCCCAGTGGCTGTCTTTTGGACCAGAGACAGAAGAATCAAAAATGCACCAGAGAGCACTAGGGAGCCAGTAGCAGTTGAAGGTCAAAGGCCTGGAAACTCACTGCAGAGACAGGTGTGGGTCTGCGGTAGAAAGCCAGAGTCTGTAGGAAAGCTGAAGCGTCTGCAGTGGGAGCCTGAACACACGCAGGAGGAACATCCGCAGGCCGTAGCAAAGGCCAGAAGTCTGCCTCCAGAGAAAAGGGCAGGCTTCCTTCTTTCTCTTTTTATTCTGTCCAGGCTACAACCATATTGGTAGGTGCCACCCACATCCGAGGGAGGTCTTCCCCTAAGTCTGTGGCCTGCCTGTTAGCCATTCACAGACACGCTTATTAATCTGCAAGTCAAGCTGACATATCACAACTGACAGTCATAGAAAGGATTTGTCACTG